CCAGGATCACAGGAAACAGCTTTAGTCCAATTCCTATCGCCAATTAAAAACTCATTAACTGAAAAAAAAAAGCCAAAACAGCTGATGAGAGGATTACATACTTCCTAGAGGGATTTACAGAAGGAAAAGGAGACATGCCTGGTACTTGGTTAAAGCAGTACCTGCTAGATCTGCTGCCACTTACCTCACAGTAGAACACACAGGCACAGACAGTTATTACAGAGACAGTAAGAGGAATTTATTTGCACCAAGGTCCCCTGAGGAGTAGAAAATGATACCAGATGGCCCTGACTACATGCTGTGCTTGGATTTACTGTGACAGATGGGGAGATAGGTAAAAAAAAGAGGCTATGATAAAACAGACCATTTTATTTAACTCATTAAAATACCCTGCTTCAAGTAAATAATCCTCTATATGGAACTAGCAGTTTGCAAAGGTTTGATCATTTAAAATTTTATATTCTCCTTATCACATAACTAAAAGCTTCCTTAGGCACTGCTGGTTCAGCTGCAGAACTGAAAATAATAGTTCAACACAGAGATAGCAGAGACAGTCAAAGGAAAGTGGTCTTGCTACTTCTAAATGTGTAGAAATTAAAATACCACAGAAGTATTCTATTACTTGAGCGTCAAAATGAAAAATACGTGTTATCAGAAGTTTTGTGCCAATATTGATTTGCCAATATTTTCATTTAAAATCCCCCACCTGCAGCTGTAACTTGGCCTCCATAGTTCATGAATCATTAACTGAGTATTACCATTTCTGGTGGCTGCCTCAGAAACTGGAAACATCATCTGAGGGATAGAAGAGAGATGACAAGATCTCAGCAGTGGCGCTTCTTACAATCGGTATGCCACAGGTTAGGTCAGCAGTGAAAAGGCTGGTGGCCACGTCCTCACCAACACACACCAAACCATGTAAGAAGGTACCAACTACATGCTCTAATGCTGGAAAAAAAGGCATGAAATGGGACCGTACCTACACACCTCCCTAAAGCCCTGCTATCATTACACATGAAATGAGGCTGAAGTGGAAGGCAGTCAGGACAACCAACTCAACTGGCAGGGTGCACGAGCAAGTGACGAATGATAGAAAAAGAAAAAAATCCAACAACTTACTGTTTTCCAAAACGTAAGCATCTGGTGCTGCACTAAGCTATCTCCTGCTTCTGCTGCGGAACTCGTACTCTCAAGTTTTTGGAAACAGTTATGTGGAAAGATTAAGCAAGGTAAAATTGTGAGAGTATCAGGGAAGAAGGTAATTGGGGAAAAATGAGGAAGAACACTCAGAGCTCTGGCATAAAACTTTTAAAACAGATAATAGTTGCATATGTATGTTGTAAAAAAAAAAAACAGTTTAAGAATGTGCTGACTTTGCAGTGGCTTTTCAGAATAGCATTAACTTTTGAAGGTCTAATGTCAAAAATGCTTGTTTAGGCCTCATGCACTAACTCTATCTGAAAACACTGTCATGTGAGAAAAGATAATTTCTAATAATTTTGCACTGATTTTATACAGTTAAGTACACTAACAAACAAGCTCTCCTAGGGATCAACACTAGGTTCAATCCTGGGGTACAAACATATTGTTACAAAGCCAAAAGACAAAGCAATCAACAGTCCAAGAACCAGGTCATACCTGTTACTGAACTAGTAGACAAACAGGGCAATGACAAAACTGTACAGAAGTTGAGGCACAGTGGCCTGTGTAGCATAAGTAATAAATGGCATGGAAAGAGACACACTCATTCAAATGCAAACAAGAAGCACTTCAGTTAAGAAGATAATTCAAGCCTTGAAAATCCATTTCAAACAAAAAAAAAGATCAAAAGAAAAATATATTTGGCAATGTTATCTTTAAAAAGTGCAGACAAAGTATAGCTCCAAAAGGGTACAGCATTAAAAAGTTTTCCCCTAAAGAAATAATTTGTTGAGTTTGTGCACTTCAAGCCGTCCTGACTTTTCAATGCACCGCAGTTATTATACTATATTTTGCATACAAGAAATGTTGCCTGACAAGAAAAAGGCTGTACCTTGGAAAGGGAGGGATCTTTTCTCACTCTTCTGCAGTGGGAAGCATCAGCAGTTGGCAGTAAGTCTTCTAGTAGATTCACCAAAACTAATGCTGATCAGTAATAGGCAAATGCGCGACTCCCAAATAAAAAGCAAAATGCCTAACAGGTCCACTGGGAAAGCACGTTTGGGAGTTTTATTTTTGAGGGTTTTTTTGTGTTGTTCAGAACTGCTTTAGAAACACTATGTGCAGCATAAATATTTAGCTAAACATCTTGTTTTGTTAGCCTTAATACATTTTATTTAATGGAGAAAAAAATAAAAACAAAACCAACTGACACCTGCACTGATTTCAGCAGTTCAGACTTTTGAAAATGAGCTAGTAAAGTTCTCTGGTCCCTCAACAGCTGTCTCCATCAGATTTCTACTCCTCAGAGCCCACAACAGCTCGCAGCTCGGTTTCAAATGACACTATGGGTACCTCTCTCAACAGTAGCAGTAGTCTAATCACAGAACCCAATTCCTAATTCTTGCTAACATTTTTGGTGCCTCCACTCTACCAACATGGCAGATAACCATTGCCCAAGAAATACTGCTCTTTTAAAATTTATTAACAATTGCATAAACAAGCAAAACACTTATCCTCCCTGCTTCTATCGTTTGCCTTAAATAATGGAATACGCTGCAAAATTTATTTGCGCTTTCTTAACTGGTAGATTTCCTACTCTAATCCTATACTTTGTCTACATAATTTCTTTCTCCTTTCTCCTTCTGTGACGACAGCAGCGTTGCCCAGAGTTCCAAGTATACCCCATTTCTGCAATACAATTAGTGACAAACATCACAAAGACCAGTCGCATTGTCAGAACAACATAGAACCGATGGGGCAGAGGCCCCCTTCTTCATTAGTAAGACTTCGACCTCTCACAAGGCATCCATCCTTTGTTTTTGCTCTCAGCAGTGAAAGCTGAATCGCAGGATACTTTGGTGATTGCAGTTTTGTGATAAGTTGCTACGTTCTTCCCCACTCACCTTGCTCAAACTCCAAATTCCATCTTCCCTGAGAATAGGGCCAGAAGTAACAATTAAAATAGCAAATGTCTTCAGAAAAGAAAGTTACATAGAATTTATGTCCGGCTGCCAAAGTACATTTTGCTACACTAAAAACTTCCCCATATTCCTCATTTTGCAATCAAGGTTCTCTCTGAACTCCATAAAGTGGATGGGATGGATGATGCGTAAGAGATAATGATAAAGGGAGCAGCCAACATTTACTGCTCATGTCAGATCGAGGAGGAGAACGGTAAAATTCAAGCGTTTTAGTGATGGTGTCCAATGGACAAAACTAGAGGAATAAGGCATCCTACTACTAGGGCTGCCACCTCCAGACGACTGAGTCTTTTTCCTCCAGTTGATTCAGGTTTGTGGCTATGAGCAATTCCTCCTACTTCTGGGAGGACGTGAACTGTGGCAACATAAAGAAAAGTCCCAGCAGAAAACAGCATAGCAACTCCTGTGGCATTGACTTCGGAAAGGGCTTCTTTGCTGCTCTGAAATGGAAAAAAAATAATAAAACCCAGAAAAATTAGGATAATCATAAGTTCTTCAATCAATAATAAAAATATTACTGTCTGGACACTTAGAGAATATTTTTACCAACTCTCATTCTCTCACAATGACAGTGGTTTAACATGCTGGTTTGTGTCTTCCACCTTACTTGTAGCAACTGGCACTTTAAATTCATGTGGGGACAGAAAGACATACCTCATCCTACTTTGATCACTTCAGACTTCTAGGAACCCTTATGGAAGAAAAAAGTCACAGTCTGTGCAGAAACATCTTGTATGACCATCTCACAGCAACATAAAAAAAAAGTCAAAATGTGCTTCCAAAAAAACAGCTCAAATTGCAAAGCTATAAATTTTAGGAAGGACACTTAAGATAGACTTTTTTCCCCTTTTCTAAGCAAAGAGTTCAGATAAGATGTTAGCCTTTAACTACTGGTCCCCTGCTGGTCAGAGCAAGATTTGCAAGATTTAGGTCCCAAATTCTCACTCACTCAGTATTTCATTTGTATGCACAAATTAACACACAGAACTTCTCCAGAATTTCCAAGTGAACTTCAAAGAAATGCACCTTCTGTATCAAAACGGAGCGCCTCTTCACATTCATACCAGGATTAAGATCATGCTGCACACTATTAAATGTAATGAAATGCAAACCCACACATAACAGTTTCAAAATGCATCTTGAACAATTTCCAACCAAGTCTTATTAATTGTCCAACTGAGAACTTAGTTCTCTGGAAAATAACTTGAGAGCCTACCAAAGAGCAGAGATGTATCTTCCGCTCTGGAACTATACAACCACTGTGACAGATGTTACACTTTATCAGTTCTCTGTTCCTTCTGAAGTGCAAAATCCAAAGCCAATTCTTGCTGAGCTGACATCGAAACCATACTTAAACAACATTCTCATTTCTGTTTACAAAACCAAGCCCTTCTGCTGTCTCCTGTACCACAATATCAAATATAACTCCCTTCCAGCAAGTAAAGAGATTAGTCCCAGCAATTTACTTCATCTTTTCTCTCATGTCTTAAATTTCTTGAGGTCACACATCAGATTCTTTACAACATAACACCACAGTGTGACACCAACATGGCCCACAGCAGTAAGAAACACAGGAGTGTCACAGGAGATCTGAGAAGCAGAAAAGTTCAGTCTGGACAGAGATGAGATGTGCCCACTCCTGTGCCCATTTCACAGGACGTCTGTTCTATATATCCAAGACAAGACTATGCTTTAAGGAGTATGAGAAGCAAAATAACTGTTCTAGCTGAGGAGTCAACTTCTGAGATACCATGGAAAAGACTTAGAACACAAAGGACCAATTCTGGGATGGTGGGGAAAACTACCAAAGATTATTTTCTACCTGCATATTAAAATAAGAATGCAGCAACACTGAAAATTATTCAGTTATATAGTCATCAGATAAAACGTGGTATATAAATAAATTCTTCTCAGCAGGGAGCAGCAAAAAGGGAAAAAAAAAAAAATCAGCCTTCCAAGAAAAGGTTTACAAAACTCTACAGAAGAATTGCATCATTGGGTTATTTTTTTGTTTTGCACATTCATATTGCTACCTTTTTATCCTCTTTTTAATTCTGCTAAATTTTTCCACCAGTTTGGAATTATGTTCTATGAAGCTTCTAGGACATTCCCTTCCCAAAACTCCGCCACTAAAGCTACGTTTCGGGCAGAACAAAATCACAGACCTACCTTGCTTAGCCCTAAATATGTCACCATCGACATAACAGGTGCTGCTAATGCGAAGACCAGCAAGTGTTTTCTAATTCGATTCCGTTCCAGCCCAGCGTGCATCAGGAAGGAAACCAGGCCAAAGGCAGCTGGTGCCTGCAAAAAACAATATCGACTGGTAATACAATACCTTCTAAAAACCCCTGAAATCAGAGATAAAAGTTGAAAAAAAACTTAGAAAGTCATTGAAATGCATTGAGCTGGAAGAAATTCAGGGAGAGCACCAGTGTATGTTGCTGTTCACCCAGTTCAATAGAATTAATTCTGCAGACTGTCCTACGTTAATAACAGTACGTACTGCAAACTCATGTTCTGGCTACCAGAGTACACAGGGTTGTGTAGTCATTATAAACACTAAAATGTTCATTCTGACTTGAGTCATTGCTATAATCCCTAAGTTTCTACTAACTTATGTAATTTCTTTTTTTGTCCTGATACTATCTCCTACTCATTCTAGGATGGACTTTTTTTTATCTACAGCAGAAAAATTCTATAGTTAACATGGAGGAGGAAAAAATTCCCAAAGAAAGATAAATGTCAGCTTCCACATGAACAAAGACTTAAGAGCACTTTTAATTAGTTCATCATTCAGTTTCATTTGTGTTTTCACTAGGAAGCAAGGAAATGCTTCCTTCTTCTCCCTCTGCCGGCATCCAGTTTCTTATCCACAAGGCATAGCTGTCCTACTACTCATGGAATTCATTATAATTTTGCTCATATAAAGGCAATATCAGCTTGCTCTAACATTTTTGAGTTCAGACATAAACTAAAATATATTAAGCACTTTCTACATATTTTTTTTTAAAACCCAGAAGGAAACCACGAGTGAAGGAAAAAAGAATCAGAAAGACAAAACCATCAGTCAGGACCAGAAGGCTAGAAACAACAAAAAAAAGATACTAGAGGAAAAAAAATACATTTCTCTTGCAGTAACAAATATTTGTGGATTATCTTTCATAGGAGGAATTTTCCTCATTTAAAATTGTACAATTTCAGAAGCCAATTAATTCGAACACTAAGAATAACACAAACAAGTTTCACTTGTCAACAGCCATTGCCACCTTTGAAGAGGGTTACATAAACCACAGCTTCTTGTATGAACAGTGAAGACATACTAGATCTGGATTTCCTAACCTTTTGAACAAGCAATCACACAAGCAAGATTTTGGAGGAATGTACGACTAACCACTGTGACATATGAATGTGCTACCATAAACCAAATAAGCATCTGCACATGTATGTTCAGAATCTATCTATATAACTAATAGATATCTTACACAAGCATTAAGGAGAAAAGATCTTATCTTCAAGAGTTATTGTTTGCTTGTTACCATCACAAAAATGTCTTTTTCCTGCAGAAATGGCGTATGACTGATGTTGAAGCTACTACAATAACAGAGGTAACCAGGAGTTGTCATAGTACTCTGACAGCAAGAAGTTCCAAAAGACCAATCCTTCAAACACTAAAACCCTTTATAACAAATATATTTCCTATTTTCTTAAGAACATTACAGAACCAAAAACCTGTTGTGATCAGCATGAAGCTGCTTTTCCTTTTTGAATATACCAGCAAATACTTCTTTGCTTCACCCTCTAGAACTTGCAAGAATCCTGGCGTTTTTTGTTTGTTTGTTTTTTTAAAAAAGAAAATACTACCACAGTAGCTTCAGAAAAAGCCAGTGTGAAGCTGCCAAACATTTCTTCATGAGCTAGATTCCTCTCCCTATTTTTGGGAGGCTTATCCCAACCACTGCAACCAAGGCAGGAAGAAGGCAGGCAGAATTCTCTCTCATTTGAAACTTGTTCAGACTTAGAATCCACCATCTGCTATTCTGTCACATAACATACCAGTGCTTCTCAGTCCTTGAAGCTGTACTACTAACCTGCTCAGTTCAAGGGCGTTACACATTTCCACGTTACATCACTACGGAAACTTCAAAACTTTAGTGATTTTCTGTATGCTTTAACAGTCTTTCTAAGAAAACAAATGAGAATTTTTAGGTGATGACTTACCTTGTGCAACATAATCGCAACAAACACTATCAACTGGACGCTAGTCTGAGAAGTAGAAGCTGCTGCACCCAATGCAACACCATCAGCTGAAACAGGTGCACAAATTCATGGATTATTCCTCCACAGCATTTTCACCTTTCCCACCCCCTCAACAGCTGAGACTACAAAACATGTTGATTTGAGAAGTCCTGTCACTCAAAATGCCATTAACATTATCAATGCAACACGATTCACTTCCCATTGTCTGTTAAGCCACAACGCTTTCAGTATATTGGACAACTTTCAACAGGAGCTGTCTCCTATTTCCCAAGACCATAAAACCCACTTAGGATATATTCAGTACTGCCACATTCTGACAAATTCGAATCAGTTAAGAAGTTTAGTTATTTTTGTTTTCTGTAGAAGAAGTAGCTTCCTGCCTAATCTGAAAATCTGCTTTAGATTCTATGCATTAAAAGAATTTTAATTATTACCTCCTAAATGAATTTTCAGATATAAAGACTATTGTAAATACTATTTTTTGCCATTTACCAGAAATATATTGACTAAACGAAACAGAAAATGAATACTCCCTTAATATATAGACACTTCGTTTCATGAACTAGTATCTTTTTGATCAACATCTTATTACTTTAGACAATAACCTTCAGCAGG